CAGCTAAAGGTGACATAGATACTTTATTATAGTATAGAATTTAAATGTTTGCCTGAGAAACATATAATATTGCCCCTTTAAATGAATAGTTTCTGCGGTGCTGTATAGTCATAAACCTCTCTATCAACCTACAGTGGAAGTTGGAGGGACACAGGGTGTGAAGCACCTTGTTTGGATTTAAAGAGACAGCCTCAAAATGAGTTGATCTGAGACACACCTCAGAGCAGAGGTGAAAGAGGGGTTTGTGGAGTTACAATAAAGAGGAATTCAGACCAAAGCATTACAGTTCCAYTTTATATAGACCCCAACTGAATGATTTGAAWGTAAAAAAKGAAGGATTTAAAAGTGTGACATGTCTCCTTTAACTTGTAGGACCAGTTGTCCACAGCTAACCATGAACTTGTAGAAGTCCTATTTAGACTTATATCTGTTTAGATAGAGCACATATCTGAAAATTTAGGTCAGCTATTTGTCCATGAACATTTTGTTTCTATCATCCTACTCTAAACACAATGGCATAAAAAATCCAATCATGAAACTGTGATGTGATATAAACCTCATGATCAGTGTTTGTAGTAGCACAGCATTACATATTACATGGACGTGGTTAATCATGAACATTTTGGTAGAAAAAAGCCTTGTTTTATTTTCCCCATTGGCCCTTTCTTGGCTTCCTCTGTGATTTCTGATGATAGAGAAAATCTCAGATAGTTAATGATCTGGACTGAATAGATACAAAAATATATTGTAATAAATAAACACTGCTTTCCCTGGACACGGGAATTGTGCCTTTGTCAGCATCACTCTTTCTGCATTCTCCATTCCTCTCCCTTTTCTCAAGCTTTAGCTGAATTAAAACATTTTGTCATTAAAACATGTGTTTGTTTGATGCATCGATATACAGTACACCCCTCCTACTGTAACACTGTGGTAATGGCTGCACCACCCACAGTTTGAAGCCAGCAGAGACGATTATGTCATAAGAGGTTTGCTGATGTTGGTCACATGAGTGTTTAAGTGTGTCTGCATGTATGTGCGAATTGATTACATGTGCACATGTTGTTTCAAATGTGGCTTCTTGAGACGTGTGGCCGCAGTGAAACAAACAAATGGCCGGTTTTAAGTCTCTGTCACGGTTTTGATTGCATCTGTTATAATCCGCTCCCTTGGTTACTCCAGCTGTGTTTTGTTGTGCGCTGGTTGGGTAAAAATTTTGATGGGAGTCCATGAGGTCACTTAGTCATATTATGTGGTTTCTCATGATTGTAACTCCAGCCAATGTTAAGTGGGAGAGCAGAGCTTTGGGCAGAAAACGCCCTTTTGACCAACACAATGTGGTCAGTTTGAACATCTTTGGTCCAGTCGTGTAATTAAAGCTTTKGGAAAGGTTCATCCTGTTACACTGAACGTTAAGTATATATTGTATTAGACTTCATGTTGTAAAAAGAAAATAATTCAGGACACTCTTGGCATGTCCATTTTGTTCATTCGGACTGCTCCTCTAATTTGATATGTGGCTTTGGGTTTGTCTCCTTACAACATAGAACATAATTTTATGWTTATGCTAGGGTTCGTTAACATCAGACTCATTAGTAAGACAATACTACTTTATTTAATATGTTTTTATTTTGGTTTTCTTTAATTAAACAGTTAACTTCCATCTTTTCCCATTTTAATGGTTTAAATAAAAAATAATTAATGCTTCATAATTTGGGTGAACATCATTTTAAAGATCCATCAATCATTCACCCTTTCATAGAAAAAATACTAGAATAATTAATCCATAATTCATTTCGTGAGTTACTTATATGTAAGTAAATACCCTTTAAAAACAACACAAAAAGTTATTTTATGTGAAATTCAAGGTTCTCAACTAGCTTCAGAACCAAGCATAAACTGAGCTAAAGCTAACATCTGAGCTAATCTAAGTTCCAGTAACATTATTGTTTGTCTGTATGCTTATCCTTGTTTGTTTTTTASGCTCATAATTTTTAGGAAAGTGATATGGATAAACGTTCCAATTACTAACAGGGAAAGTGAATTACACTGTTTATATTGTTGTAATGGTGCTCATCAGTGTGTAATATATTAGAGACAAAAGCAAGCACTCATTTAATTTGTTGAATTGGGAAAGTTTGCCAAGTATAGCTTTGTCAGCAGCCAAAGATTCATGGCTAAACTTGGTCAGATCATTTTGAGAGAGGTGGTGGTCTTCGTTTGGATGGTATTTGTATGCAGTGATTAGTGCCAACCAATGATGCTCCTAAGAAGGACAATAGGCACAGATTTGTTGACGCATTTGTGGTCTGATCCCAYAAAACTGCTGCTATAGTGCATATTGCTCAATACATGAATGCTGGCTATAATTATGTGGTGACAGAAATTTMTWCAATGCTAATCTTGCTGTGTTAATKCTGACCTGTAAGTTGACCTCTGAAGTATGGTTCCCTGGAATCAAATTGTCCCATTCAAAGGATCCCCATCCATCAACACATAACACCAAATTACCCTAGCATATTTTTTTATTGAGAGCAAGCTAAAGAAACCCTTTACAAGCACAAGGATTAGTAAAGAAGGTAATTTTTTGTGCCACTCATGCCCATTTTGCAGTTAATCTTTTTATCACTTTCACCAAACTGCTTGCAGCAAAACAATCTTTAAAAAGTACATTTTTACTTTTGAAGAATCTACTATGATGTCATAATGATCAGAAAGGCATTATGAAAAAATWGTTAAAGATGCCATGGTTTGATGAGTCAAGTTATTTTTGTCAACAGGGAAAGTGTCAAATACCACACCCTGGTCGGTGGAGTCTCTGGCTCCAGTGAAGGAGTTTAAGTAGCTGGGAGTGATGGTAGGATGGAGCGGGTGATGGATCGACTGATCGG